GGAGGTGCTTCCCGTTTAATAGACGATGGTAAGTCGAGATCCTTCCACCAAAGCCACATCACAGCCCTTGCTGACTGTGAAACCTTCAGAACCCGAATCCAAGTCAGAGCTTCGGACCTGCGAGGAGTGCCCCAGCTACCCGGGTAAGGCCACATACCGCGCCGTGATACTATGGATTGGATGGATGTTGGTGCTGACAAGCACTTTTCTCCCGTAGGAAAGGTTGAGCGGCACTGCTACTACAGGTAGCCAGCAGTGGACAGGTGCGGGATAGGCAGGCATCAGTTCTAACGGACCACTTGGTACTGGATCGCAAAAAAGACGCCCGAAACCGTCAGTGCTGAAGGGAAAGAAAGAGGAGGAGATAACTGAAACATTGGTTTAGGTAGCGAGTGTAACCGGCTCAGATCCTCTCTGAAGCCCCAACGAAATCCGAGACCTAAACACAGAACCGCAAAACGAGAAGTGAGAATGTGTCAAGCACTAAGAATCAGAGAGATGATACCATCAAATCAAAAGCCAGCACGGATGCGATCCCGGGTTCCGTCTGTCGTTTTATCTTGGGGGTTTCTCTGACATGACGATGCAAAGAGTTGCGTCCGGTGTGTTCTTTCTACTGAAACGGGAAGATGTTGGTCAGAAGGGGTCGAACGCGCGGAAGGTACGGACCGAGGCTCGAAGCCCCACGAGGGAACTGAGCTGAGAGCTGCACAGAACCAATTTACAAGGATGTCGCTCAGTTCGATCTTCGTCCGCTGGATCGGCCGGTTTTGTCAGCTTCCCGACGCAGCTTCGGAATAGGCTTTCTCTCAGACATCCAGCAGGCCCCAGCCAGAACCCCATGCCAAGGTGAGAAGTAAAATGGAAACATTCACACCAAAGCTGAGAGCTCCCTCACTGATAAATTCCACAGAAAACCTTCATCTTCAAACACCCCCACTAGGCATCCCAACCACGGCGAAAACCTGGTTTGCAGCATGGCCTCCTGGCGCAGAATGACGGTCGACGACATCCCCTCGCTGCTGCGAGTTGCAGACGCGGTGCACCCTGACCTACCAGAGAGCGACTACGTCTTCACAGAGCGCGTGAAGGTCTTCCCCAAGGGATGTCTCATTCTATCCGACAAGGATAACAAGATATACGGCTATGCAATCTCCCATCCCATCCGCCGCGGCCAACCACCCGCGCTTGACAGCTTGCTCCACGAGATTCCGGTAGACGCAAACCAGTACTACATCCACGACGTCGCAATCCTACCCGAACTTCGGAAGCGTGGACATGCAGCCGAGGGAACTCGCATGCTTCTCGAGGTTGCTAGCCGCTTCCCCACGACCTGTCTTGTGTCGGTCTATGGCACAGGGTCGTTTTGGAATCGCTTTGGTTTCGAGGAGGAAGTGGTTGATGAGGCTTTGAGTGAGAAGCTCCGCAACTATGGTGATGATGCCGTCTACATGTCTCGCAATAATTTGGCTGCTTCGTGAAAGAGCTAAAGCAGAAAAAGGAAGATGCTTGAGGGGAGCGTGGAAGAGTGTTGAAGGCTTGAAGTTACGATTTTCCAATGACCTATAATGAAGGTTTTTTTTTGGACATTTTGTACCGACGAGACGAAATAACAAACACGAAAGAGACAAAAAGTTTCTCTGATTCAACGTCCAGTCAGTGCTTCCAGCCCAGCTCTCCTGCCTCCCATCCACACCCTCAAGCAGGCCCAACATGAACAACCTCAACATTATTCCCCGCAGGATCAAACACAAACGCCGCATAATAATCCGCCGTATACTGCGGCCTCAACCCAGGCGCCCCATTGTCCTTCCCCCCAGCTTCGATTCCAGCCTTGTAGAACTCATCGACCTGAGCCCGATCTATCATCCACTTTGGTCAGTAAAACCATTCATTTCAACCACAGAAACCGTGTCAAGTGAGAACAAGACAAAACTGTGGGAAAACAAAACAGAAACAACAACCGAAAAGAAACCAAAAGTCAAGTAACCAGACGCCACACCGAGAAACAACCAAAGCAAACAAAACAGAGACACCAACCCTTCGCCTCAAACGCAAAGTGACTAGGGGTAGGAATCCCCTCCCTCGTAGCAGACACCCAAAAGTCGGGGTGGCTGCCATCAGGCCTATCACTGAAGCCATTGACGATGCCGTCCATGAAGACTCGCGATTTCTTGTACCCGATGGGCGCAAGCGCCTTCTCGTACCAGGCGACGACCCTGGCGGTGTCGGCGGCGGCGGTCTTGATGCCTGCGTGGGAAATGACCATCTTGGGCTGAAGGGGGGACCGAATTGATGGACTGGCGTTCGAGGTGAGTGGTTGGCGGGAGATTCGTGAGTTGTTGGGATGGTGAGAAGCAGTTGAAGATAACGCAGCGCAACAATATGTTGAACTCAATATATACCCAAGGACATCGGCGTATAAATCACAGTGATTACCCTCGTGCGGGGCACCAAGACGACCTGCAAGCCCCCTCCTGCACCCCAATACCGCTCTCAAAACTATTGCGAAAACGATTGGGCAAACGCAGTGACGCGACAAGAACACGAAGTCCCGTGCAACCCGACCTGGCCCAGGGATGCGGTGCATCGAGGTTGAGATTGAGATTGGCTCGGCGTAAAGCGCCGGGGGTCACACTCGGAACTCGGAACGCCGAATCGGCCGACTGCCGGATGTTCATGGTGCATCCCGCAGCGGGCCTCGAACACATGAGGGAGATGACTGCATAGAATTTGGTGATTAATATTGCAGCTTTGATCAAAGTGACATAATCGGATTCAACCGAAATAACAAAAGCCCGACATTCTGTTAACCTTGCCCCTGATGCCCGCATCAAGCACGTGTGTCATCGTCCTGACACCAACGTGCTGGCAATGACAACGTCGGCCCTGAGCCTGAACGCCGATAACCCCCCTGTTCGACATGTCGAGCCCGTCAGCGCTCCCATATCGCGACATGATCACACCTGGCCCTCTCCTTTTCCGCCCTCTCCCTCGCCGCCCGCTTTTCCAAGAACTGCCGATACCGCTTCTTCGGCACCTTCCTGGCCTTGTCTTCCCAGATGTCGTACTTCACTTCCTCCCATATCTTCAACTGCTCCAAGAAGTTCTCACACGGATCCACTTCTCTCCGCTTCATCTTGACGTCTGCCAAGACTGTCCGGAGCCCCTTTTTCTGCTTCCGCATCAGGTACGCTATCACAACAGTCGGTGAGCGTGAAACGCCCTGCGAGCAGTGTACCAGCACCTTCCCCCGCTGCGTCAGCGACAAGACGCCAGACGACGAGCCGTAACCGCTGCCGCTGGTGCACCCCATGAGGACAGACTCTTCCTCGGCCTGTTGCAATATTTGCTCGAGGGAGGGTTCTGCTGTCTGCTCATCGATGAAGTCGCAAATGTCGGCGAGGTGCACTAAAATGTCCTCGGTTGAAGAGTCATCGCAGACGACGAAGAGGTGATTTTTCTCAGGCACGAGCTTGAGATTGCCGGGGCGTGACCACTCGAGCGACGGGCTCAGACCCAGGGACACGATAGCGGTTACCCCGTGACGTATCAGGGTCGGGATGGAGTAGGAGGAGGCGAGATCGCCAATGAGAATTGTTGATGTGATTGGAGTGATCGACACATGGTGGTGGTGATCATAGCTATGCAGGAACATGGCGAAGGCGAAGGGTAGCTGGCCACCTATATCGGAGTGCGCGATTTGCGCGAATTGGGTAGATAGGGGAGGGATTGGGGACAGTTGCCAGGCGCAAGAGCGTTGGCACGGCGGTGTGAAGGCGACTGATGCGAAAGATGCTGTGGGTCGGGACCAGGATGCCACCGCCGTCACAGGCGCTGTGTGGGAGTAAAAGTTTGAGGTGTCAAGCTTTCTGGAGGCAGCCCAAATCCACAAGGCGGAAAATAGAGTTAGAGTTGAGAGCGGGTTGGTTGCACCCGGCAGTTTCCGGTTGGAGGTGCAATTGGGGCGACTTCGCATACGAGGAACCCCAGTCGAGGCGCACTGCAGCTCATCGCAGCCTGCGTTGGCCGTTGAGGTCCTCAGTTACACTTCTGCTCCCCGGATCCCGGGCGACCCTCCATGACGTCCGGGGTTGTTTCCCACCGCTCCGCATCTGGCGAAATCTCGACGACGGCGCTCCTGGTATATATGTGGCTTGCTCCCTCCCAGCGAAGGCCTTGAACCACGCCGCCCTTGACGCTTACGGTGGCTCTCTCTTGGCCGTCTTTCTCGCGAATACGATGCATGATGCGCACGCCACACCGTTTGCAGAAATAGCAATCCATCGTGCGCCCCTCTTTTGCCGGCCTCGTCCAGCATCCGAGCTTGGACTTGAGCTCCTCGGAGAGCGGGAAGAGCCCCTCGGCGGGAAAAATGGCGCTCGTCCCGAAAGCTGACGAGGACTGTTTCCGGCACTCGGTGCAGTGGCAATGGTACACCGATATTGGAGCCGAGGTCGGCGTCGTGAACGAGACGTTGCCGCACTGGCACCGAATATTCATCTTGTCGGACGCGCCAGCGATTGGGGCCTTTGTTGTCGAATACGATCTGCCACCTGCGAGCTGCGACACGCTTGTGGTGGCGGGGAGAAGCGTCCAGTGGTTCGTCTGCGGGGTAGGACGCGTGCCGGTGTCGTGACGGGTCTCGGTTCGAAGCGGGCTGCAGAGCGGAGAAATGTTTTGCCCAAGATCATTGCGTGGTGGGAGAACTTCGACTTCACAAACGACATGCTCAGTTGCGTTTCATAATGTCCATTTCCACGTAGAGCACGGGAAAGGTCGGCCGCTGCTGAAATGTTTCTGGCTTGACCCCGCGCCCTGTTAATGACGAACGTGCCATTGCCCTGGTCCTCGATCGCTGCTACCCCACCTGCCAACGACTGTAACCCCACCTCCCCCCACTCGGAGACAGGGGCTCAGGGGCATTTCCACTTCACCCCCCATCGAGGACGTAAAAAATTGAGGAAAAAATAAGGACAACAGGATCCTGTGCCCAGCTTCTCCCCCAGTTAGGATCGAACTAACAGCCTCCAGATTTCTATCGCATCTGTCCCAAGAGAAGATGAGAAGAGAGAATAACAGTCTGACGCGCTAGCCGGTTGCGCCATGGGGGACTGCATTGTTGATATTCGGCGGTAGTGGAACCGGACTTAAGAACCCAGGGACAAGACGTAGCGGCAAAAAGAGCACAGCTGCAAGTGTGCTTAGAGGCAGCTAGGCTGCTAAAGTTGATCGCTTTGATCCCAGCTGTCCCTGGCTTCGACCAGCACGATGACGCGCATTCTATTGAGGGCGAAAAAAGGAATCCCAGGGAATCTCGTAGCTCTCGAGGCTAGTGTTTTGAACTTGGTTGTCGAACAGCAACTGTTGTGAGTATTAGCTTGACATCCCCATGAGAAATACAACAAATACAACAACATGTTCTTACCCAGTCGTTCGAGTTCGCGCCCGGGTCAAGCAGGCCTTCCAAGCCCTCAAGAGGTGGGAGGTCCACCATATCCACTACAGGGACATCAAAGTTCCATGCCGTAGGTATATGGCTGTTGGCGCCGCCGGCACTGATCGGGGGACCAAAGGAAGAGGAGCCTGATGAAGAGGAGATGCTGAAGTGTATCCCTGAGTTACCGGATGACGAGGTCATTGCACTAGGTCCTGGGGGCAGTGTTAGCTACCGTGGTCTGATCTGGCAAAGGGAGGGGTTATCTCCCACTCACCAGCATCTGCGCCGAAGTAGAGGGCTGGCGCGGCGTTTGAGTCTGCTCTCTCACTCGAAGACGTGGACTCGGGGCTGCTTCCAGCATCGCTTCCGGCCGACATCGCAAGCATGTCGGAGAGGATCCGAAACGCACGGTTCGATTCGCGATATTGCTTTCTAGTAGTTTGCCATATAAGCCTCGAGTTCCGAAGAATGTCCACGAGCTGCTGTTTTGAAAGAATGTCGGGCGTAGTATCATTTGCAAATGCCTTGAGGGCGACGTCGGAGGCATCGCAGGCCTTGTCCTTTGCTTTGAGATACGCCAGCTCGAGGCAGAGGATCATATCGGCAAGAAGGAAGCCATGCACACTCATGCTGTTCAAGAACCATCGGTCCTTCGCCAAACGACCATCTAGCTGCATCTCGGAGTGAATGTCGCATTGGTGGCGCAGTGTCTGTGTCGCTGCGCCGATGCAGGCTCGTCTCGAGTGCTCGTAGCGCGGTTCTCGTCTCGCAACACACATGTATTTCCGATGAAGGACGATGCGAGATTTGTGGTAGAGGAGGTCCAGCCAGTAGCGATTCATGATCACCTCAACAGGGTCGACGAGGGACTGGCTAAACGGGCGATAGCGAAAGGTGGGCGGGAGCTTAGAGCGGACATCCTCGAGCTGCCTGTCGACGCGCATGACTTCGGCATACGATACGGGCTTACCCGCTGCGGCTGCTGTGGTGATCGCGATGACGGCCGAAAAAGCTTCAATCAGTCGGCCCCTGAGAATTGAAGGCAAGCTGACGGTTCGCTCTGTTTCAGGTCGAGAGGGGGGGAGCTCCCTTGTGTCTTCATCGAAATCCTCGTCGTGTAAATTCCGCGGAGCCTCGGTGTCGTACCAACTAGGATGTATATTGCTCGGCACACCAAACTGAAAGGACACTAAAGCGTCAATTTCCCGGACGATCGCCCATACTCTTCTTCGTATTTCCCCTTCATAAGGCGGCATATCTGGGTAGTGTTTGGGGTCTCTGTGCATTCCCATATGCACAGCCAGGCGGACGGTCATGGCGAGCAAAGTCGATGTGCCGAGAATAAAGTCATGGTGGCGGAGGTACTCGGTTCCAAAGTACAAAAGCATGGTCTGAACTTTGTAGTTCCCTGGTTTCGAAGGATCCGACAAGGCGAGACATTGCGCTGTTCGATACTTATACTCGTCAAAGGCCATCGACGCGCTGCCAAAATTTCCCGGAAGATCCTGGCCTGCCATGTCGAAATACAGTGCTCCATGAGCGCACATGGCGAAAAGCAAGGCAATCCAAGTGTACGTGGCATCGAGAGGGTTGTTGTCCCAGAAGTCCTTGTAGTTCCTCATAAACGTGGGGACATGAAACCCTGCCCAAGCGGGCTCCTTCGCCTCGAAGAATCTGGCGACCAGCCTGTCAACCAGAGCTCGAGGGGGGAGGGCAGCCACCAGGGCTGCGATGCTAAGGTGAGGAAATCCACCGACAAGCAGATTCGGCCCCTGGGTGGCGGGAATGTCCACATGGTCACCGGGGTCAGAGATGTCCCCGTCGGTTTTCAGGTCTCGAGTGAGTACAGTGATCTAGAAGTGGGCGCCTAGTGTTAGCGGTCATGGTACACTCTATCGGAAAACACGCGCGTGAGAACCCACATCATCGAGGATAGACTCCCAGTTAGTAGCATCGACGTAGCGTTTGTCATCTGCGCTTAGGCCCGCTTTCGCACTGGAGCGCACGATGTCGGGGGGAAGCTCGTCACTAGCATCTTCGAGGGGTTCACGACGCTGGGACTTCAGAACGTGGACGAGGTGTTCAAGATGCTTCAGACGAGCCTGGAATGCAGAGTCCTTGACCTGGGGCTTCGCGCGCGAAGCGGCGGGGTGTGGTGCTGAAGATGGTGGGTGCCCGAAGCGCTTGGCAGGAGCACTGGGGTCTGGGCGCTGATGGGTCTGGGACTCATAGGGGATAATCTGACAATCCGCAGCAATGTCTCGCTTTTCGCATTGGTCACATGGCAACTGTCGGTTGCATTTCAGCCTATCTAGAATCAGCCAGTATTCTCATCAGGTGCGAGCTCGCGATCGAGGAATTGCAGATAAAGATGGGGAGATAGCCGCAGGAGGTCATTCTAACCCAGCCATGACAACCGGGTTCTGGGGCAGGGCCAAGGCCTCGACGGCTGATCAGAGAACGTGACGTACTTCTTTTGCCGGCAATGGGTGCAGGAAAGCCTGATCCGGTTCCTCTTCTTGTGCTCCAGGGCCGAGGATAACTCCGGGCCGGACGGAGGAAGAAGTTGGGAGATACCGCCGGCCAGATTTGCTTCAGGATCAACGTCTTCCATGTCGCCGGCACGGGAATTGAGAGAGCACTCCTCCGGAAATGGGTCTTGCGACAGCGGGAAGGAACTTTGGCCTCAACCTCGGCGATCAAATGTGAATACCTCACGAGATCCGATGCCCGAACTCGTCGCAGGCAGGAATCGGAGCGAGCCCCCCCTTTTCGAGCCATCCCCTTGTCGTTGTCTTAGTCAGCGTTGCAAAGGATTCTGGCGTGCCAACGACGCGGTTTGGCAGAGTCGCGACGCCTCGTTGAACATGTTGAAGGGCAGAAATGCAATCGGCGACATATAATAGTGCGTATCAATATCCAGGCGAGACATCAGGGCCAAGTTCTTCCCATTCATTGATGCCGGCTCGGAAGGGGCAGGCAACCTTCGCTGTGTTGCGTGCCTTGGCACGTCTAGCCTGCATTCCCGTCTTGTAGCGAGAGGGGAAGCAATTGTCGCGGTTGCCTCAAAGGAGGTGGAAGGCTTGCTTGGGGGGCGGCGGGTGTGCTTCGGCGAGAGTCGAGTCAACTCAATTATAGCTCCTGTCAACAAGACAATCCGTGAAGTTGACCCCCACTGGGTTGGAGACGAGGGCCCAGGCTCGCCTGCGTGACATCATTGGGGTTCGGGTGGCCCAAGCTTCTTGGCGCGGCAGGCGGGGGCCGCGTCGACATTGTCGCAATCCACGACGGGAGCTCCCTCGACAAGGAGCACCGTTTGCTCTTCGCAGCGCTCCAGTAGTCTACCAACCACACATTCCGCGATGCCCTCACAGCCAGGCACCGCAAGCGAGCCGCCGCGCCGGCTCCTGCCCGGGCGTCTTGCCGACTACATCGTCCGCGCCGCCAAAGCTGCATATTATCCGATCGAAGGCATCTGGTACTTCCTGCGACGACCCTACTTCTATCCGCTCTTTGTTGGGCGGCTTCTCCCCTTATCCGTCATCTCTCTTCTCGTTTACTTTATCCTGTTTACGTTTGCGTTTCTGCCCCAGCTTGCGTTCTTGTTGATCTTCCATGGGTGGAAAGGGGCGGTTGTTAGCGCCACCGCCCTGGTCCTCGGGGAGGGTCTCATTGTGATACAGGGCATTTTCGAGGGATTTTTCGTCGATGAGTGCCGGGTGGATGTATTCGATGTGAGTGCAAACTGCTGAAGCCAACATGATATTGGACGTTGCTGACGCGCCGTTCCAGGCCACCCTGATCGATAAAGGGCACACCGATCTCGTCGCGCCCCAGCGAATCCTCTTCTTCGACGCTCCGAACCCTGTCAAAATGCTTGGGAAGCCTACCACGCGCGCCGAGTATCAGCCTTGGAGCATGGTACAGATCGTCGAGCTTATCTTCTTCCTTCCCCTCAACCTCATACCGATTGTGGGCACGCCTGCCTTCATCATGATCACTGGCGCACGGCTAGGAAAGCTTTCGCATCACCGATGGTTCAAGCTCAGGGGATTGGACAAGAAGGCTACAAAGAAAGAGTTGAGCATCAGGGGGTGGGAATATCTCTGGTTCGGAACTGTCGCTATGATATTTGAACTGTGTCCCATCCTCAACTTTTTCTTCCTCTTGACATCCACCGCTGGCGCTGCGCTGTGGGTGGCCAAACTTGAGGATCGGGCGAGGGTCCGGGTGGGAAGACCAATTACAGCTGAAGAGCGTGTGGCTCAAAGCGCTCAGGAAGAACCTGTGTACCATGATAACCTGGTCTGAACCAGCAGGAGAGCAGATAGCCCGTTTTGATGCCCCCTGGCTTTGCCGACACACTTTTCATCTCTGGAAGAGTTTAGACACCCAATTTCGATGCTGCGATTGCGGTGATCTACCAATCTGAACCGACCCGACGACTGCTGCTGTTGCACATCATGGTCATGTTACCACTCAACATCTCAGATGCGTCTCGAATGGAGGAAGCGCATTTCCCGCCATGTCCATTATCCAAGCATCCGTCGCGAGATCCAGGCCGCCGACGGCTTCAGCCTGTACCCTTGGCCGTCAAGCTGAAGCCGACATGTTCAATATAGAACGTTCCTTCCATAGCCAGGCCCGACCAGTTGGAGACGTTCTGGACCGACA